CTTTTTTCTATACAATAAATAAATCCAACATTGTGTGTTAAGTCATCAGATATAAAACATAAAGACGTTGGTTGACTTTTAGTAGAACCCTCATCATTTTTATTATAAATAACTACAGGATGTATTGTGCATTGCTGTTGGTTCCAGTGGTTACTCTGGATTTCGTCTTGTATGACAAATTTAAAGTTTTCTGCAAAGTCAACTAAAATAATAATTTTATTTATGGGTATTGATGGCTTTAATGTATTTAAATATTTACTTTGTGCTTTAGCAATATAAGAGTGAGATGTTATGCTATCAAGTTTTCAACTAAGACTTTCAATGAATTCACTTATTGTAGATGTGTTACTTAGAAGCTCTGCTCTATCTGTTGTACTCCATTGTTTGTATTCAATTGTTTCATCTTCATCCACTTTGTCATTCTCTTCAAATGATCCTTCATTTCGCAATAGATTTGCAGTTATATAATTTATAATATCTTGAATTCCAGGGCATTGATTACATCTATGGACCATGCATTCCCTTGACTCTCTGCTACAATCAATCTTCTCAATAAGTTCATGGCAATTCTTCTCCAGTTTAACTGCGCTAAGCATAGGCTTTAGGTTTTGGTATTTTGCGCATATACAAACAGCATGGGTTCCTTTTTGACCAGCATAAAACATCATTTTGGCTTTAACTGAGCAAATTTAGAAAATCCTATTTTGGATTGAGGGTGTTGTAGTTTGAATTCAATAAATAATTCCTTTAAATTGCAAAGAAGTAATCGCTTTAATACATGTTTATTTTTGGATACACTTACAAAATCTTTTATACCTGGCAACTGCCTACTAAACTGATCATTACAATAGAAGCTTATCCACCTTATTAATGATATCTGATTTAATTCTAACAATGTTAGTTTTTTCTGGAAGTGTTAATATTCCTTTTTCAAATTTAAGTTTTCTTGCTTTAGTTATGGTTGATTTTGATATATTAAATACTTCAGCTGCTTTCCTTGAAGACCATGAATCTGGAACCAATGTTAAAATCTGAACCTTTTCTCTTCTATTTGCTGTTTTCAGCTTTTCTTGCATTGAAAGTATCAATTTATCTAGATTTTCAGCTTTCTTCTGATTTTCAATATTGGGCTCCCCAGTAACATCATTTTTCAGGTCTGTTGCGTTAACATTGAGGATAACTGATAGCTTTTTTGACATAACATCAGTAGCTTGCATTAATTTTCTTTTTCCTAGAGAAATTTTAGCATGTTGTTGAACCCCATGAAATCTTATTGGCGATACATCTAATTTATTAAAACTGGTGTTTATAAGTTCTTTTTCTTGTGCCATTTCTATATCTTCATCAAAAAATGTTTGTTCCAGAAAATCATCTTCACCATTGTGGTCCTGTAAGGTAGACCAATTATCTATTTTTTTTACCATTTATTTTCGACATGAAGGACACATTTTAAAACCAGGTGTTGTTTTAATACCAATTGAACACATATATTTTTCCAGTTGAATATCAATTTCTCACAAACCACCTATAAATATTTTATAAATGAATAAAATTCGCCAAAATTAGGAAATACTAATTTAGATAATATAATAACATAATAATGTTAGGAATAAAATAAAAAAATTAAAATTTTTTAAACTAATTAAAAGTGTACTAGATGTATTTTTTGTAGAAAGACAGCAAAAACGTAAAAAAATTACCATTTATATTAGTTTTATGCTTTTTAAATGGTTCGATGCAATTTTTTTGTGAGTTAACAAACCGGTTAAGTAAAATTTGTTTATGATGTAAACAGATTTTAACATTAACGTTTAATATTGATAGCCCAGATCTCCATAATAATAAATTTCTATCATTCTCTGAATAGCTTGATAAATCTTTCAATCCAATTGATTTAGTGTACACCATTTTATGACATTGATCATTTGATAAAATACCAACTGTACATAAAATCTTGTTTATTTTATTTTTTTCAATTTTTTTTTTAAGCTATAAACACAAAATACACAAACATATTTAATACATTTTAATACATTTATTAAAAATGGAAAAAATATTTACCATTTATAATTAGTATTTTTAAATATGTACAATATATAGTATTTTATGTATTTTTTTTTTTGACTTACTTAAAACTTTGTTGTGAGTTTTTGTTAAAAAAAGTGATGTTGAAAATAATAGTTTTAAAGCCTTTTTAAAATACAAAGTTCAGTAGGTGTTATAAAACAAAAATTAAAACACTGAAAAAAATTTATAAATTAACCCTGGTTAATTTATAAATTTTATGTATGTATTTTTTTGATGCAAAAAAATAAATAAAAAAATTGCAAAATGACTTCTCATTAATATTTATATATTAATTTTTATATTTATATAAATGGATTTAAAAATCACTAGAACTTTTTAATTTATGGCCTTTCAAATGTCTAATACCAACCGCTGCGTCAATAAAATTTTAGACATGTTTTTGGGGCAAAAAGTCTTCAATTAACTGGCCATCAAGCTTTATACGCATAGTATCTTCTAAGGTGTTGTCATTTAATGAAGTTCGCAAAAGATTTTTTTGTAAGTTCATATAAGAAAAGTTTGCAACTTGCTGTTGAAGCGCTGAAAGTCAGCATAATCTCTAACAAGACATTTATACTTGCCAATTCAGGTTCATTTTCCAGCAAGATATCTTTATAAATGCTTAAAAGTGAATTTGTCCTTAGTTTAGAGACTTTCTCCCTGAATAAAGGCCGCTGCAATACACATAAGTTAGAAGTTTCTCTACTTATCATATTATTGTTCTCATAAAAGTTGCAAACACTTTTTATTTCATTAAATCCCTATTTTTTTTATCTCTAGCGAACCTGTAAAGGAATTTGTCCAGTTTCGACAATCAAAGATTATGGTTAAAGATTTTAATGGTTCTTGATTGAAATCGTGGCCAAATCGCTTGTCTGTATATTCTTTTGCTTCGTCAGTAATTTTAATAAAATATTTTTTATTATAATAATCAAAATAATCATTTGGTTGTTGTCTAACTAACTCATCGATTCTCTTTAAATTACGCGTTTTGTTAAATAAATGTTGTTAAATCAATACCTTTGTAGATTAGCTGTTCTTCTTTTACTTCTAAATTATCTAGTTAACATCAAATATTTGAGCCTGGATTAACTGATAACGCGTCTAGTACAGCAATTCTTGCATCAACTTTACGCAAAATCTCATAAATTAAAATTTCTTTTTTTTGAAACTCCCATGATAAAGTTGTTAGTGATTTAACAATATCTTTAATTAAATGTAAATAAAATAAAAATTGTGTGTCTTTGATAAAACACAAAAATCCTTTAGCTTTCTGTGCAGTTTTGTC